GTATATTTTCTGTCTCATCCCATCCCTTTAAGACAGGTTTTCAGACTTTTCATTCATGACTTGGTTTGGTGGTTTAGTACCTGTGCTAAATATTTATTAGAGTTCTACACAAATGAAGTGGCTGTAAAGTTGAGAAGAAAAGCACAAAAATACAAGAAGTAGAATCCCTCACTAGTAGTCACTGACATTTGCCATGTTAAGAGCTTTAAGTCCGAATAAAAAGAATTGAATTCTGAATAAAAATTAATTCCGCTTTAAAAAGACTTATTTGGAAATAAACTTAATTCCAAGGTAAGTGGGTGTTTTATTCCGATTTTAAAGCCAAATTAATGTATTCCTCGATCATGAAACCATTTACCCTTCTTAAAAATAATAACTTGTTGGGTCGTCCTTTTGACACGATCCGGACGATCCGGCTCCACCAGTCCTGGCTTCGAACTTTCATCCACGTCTCTTAGGATTTGTGAGTGGGATGTGGGAGTGGACTGAGGTAGACTACGTTCAGACTGCAGCCTGAAGTGACCCAAATCTGATTTTTTGGCCCCTGTGTGACCTGTATCTGATCTTTTAATGACAGTCTGAACCACACAGATCAGATTTTTTCAAATACGACCCAGACCACTTGGATATGTGCTCCTAAAACCGATACATATCTGATCTTTTGACATGCGACTTCAGTCTGAACGGCCAAAGTGCATTCATCCAAACTACACGTTATCAACAAGCAACAAACGTCACTATTCTGCGCTGAAGTAGGTGAAAATTGTTAATGAACTCCGTGTCACTGAAGTGAAGCACATCACCACTCACCACTCTTGGCTACGTCTCCACATCCACACGTTCCTTTCAACAGACTGTCCCACAAAACACCACGACTAAAAACCTCGTCCTTCTCCTTCCCAATCTCCTCCTTAAAACGAGTAAGTTGTTCATGTTCTGGCTCCGGTACGAGAGGAACTTTAAAATCTCCAGGTGCTCAATGCTGCGTCCATGTTTGGACAACTTCTGTAAACACAGAGCACGCTCGCTGCGGTTGACGTCGTCGTGTCTCCAGTGCACATGCGGGACACTTTCGGTCTGTTTACTGTTCACACTGGAGTCATATACAAGTCACATTTAATTGGAAATGTGAACGACCTCGCAAAAACATCGGATTTCACACAAAAAATCGGAAATGAGCATTAAACCCTGCAGTCTGAACGTAGCCTATGTTTTGGTGGCATCAGTAAGTCCGTTACATGCACTTTAAATAAATACATACAATCTCAAGTAAGATATCAAAAGTGAACCCTCTTTGTATTCTGAACTTTAAGGTATATTCCTCTTCATCTCTCCTCTCTCTCGCTCTCTCTCTCCGGCCCTGTCCTCTGCTCTCTTCCCTCTGATAGCTGTTGGAGTTTGCTGACCTTTTCAAACGACGCTCTCCTCTTCAGCAGCTTCATAAAGACGGATGAAACTCTGGAACCGTTCCAATCAGAGCCGGACTCCAGCACCGCAGCTCTAAGTGGCAATAAGCCGCAGAACTAAAGGCGTCCTGAAGAGTGGAGCTTTCACAAAACTGTGATGTATGAGCCGATATCACAGACCACACTATAGACCAGTACTCTACAAGATATCACAACAGATCGGAATTTGAGAAGGATTTGACTGATCTGATTATTCTAGCTATGTTTTCGAGTTAAATTTGCCACACCTACTATGTGAGCTTTTATCATGTAAATGTAAATATTATGTACCTGTAGCTACTGTCACAAGAAGGCTCGGTTGGTCAAAGCTGCAGGTAAAATTGTTAACATCTACAACAGAAGGGTGATTTGCAAGACCCAACAAATAATGGAGAGCCCTGACCACTCGCTCTTTCAGGAGTTTAACCTCCTTCAGGGCGACGTCTGAGAATAGACCTTTTTCACAATGGCCGAAAGTGCCGCAAAGTAGGGTAAACATAACTCCCGGTAAATGCTTTTCTATGGCAAAATATCTGTGGAAATGTCTCGTGTATTTTCCACAAGCTTCATAAATCTGCTCCATCACCAAATCTTCAACCAACAAGGTCCACAAAGGATAAACATTCTAACAAATTATCACGTTAATTGTGATGAATTAATTACAGTCATATTTAGCGCATTATGTTTTTTAATCGCGTTAATCTCATTTTTAATCTCTAACTTTACTGTTTCTGTATGCGAGTTGCCTTATTATAAAATCTGTTTTTATGTGTTGTTAGGACACAGTCTCGCACTGTGCAGTCCTGCTCCGCTCCCTTCCCGTTCTCGCCGCATCTGTGATAAACCTGCACATGTCTGATCTCTGAAAACATCGTGACACAGACACAGAACAGACTCACCTTCACCATTCAACACCCTCTGTCACAGAGAGAACATCTATATTCCACTGAGTCCTGTCCTTTAGTAGAAGCTGAACCACATCAGCGCACAAGAGCATGTTTTTTTTCTTTTCTCCGCTTAGTTTATGTAAATGAGCCATGCGGTTTTTAGTTTTGTTTCTGTGAGCCTTGCACAAAGCTGCATTAAACACATTCTAATGTCAAACGGGCTGATGTGGCCCAGTGTTCATGGTTTATATGTTGTAAAGTTGAGTTTATTTATTCAGATTAGTAATAGTAATAATGATGATACTTATATAAAAAGTTAATGATAGTATGAAAATAATGTAATAATGAATTCAAATGAAAATACCTCAAGTTGAAGCTTTTCTCAGCAATTTTTAGGTGAGATTAAATAAGAGATGAATTAGATGAATTAATTACAGATCATAATTAATTAATCTCTCAATGTTTTTAATCGCTTGACAACACTAGTTTATCCACAATTATCAAGGGAAGAAAGACGAAAAACTTAAAGGCAAACAACGACGACGCATTACTATTGAACAAAACTAACATTATGGTCATGAATAAAACATAAGTAAGTTGTTCACTCAGACTTTAGATTCTAGAATTAAAATAAAAAATTGATTTCATAATGTTGATATTGGCATAGACAGAGAGATTTGTGCAGTCTGAATGTGAGACGTGTGATCTGTGAAGGAACTGCACAAATCACTGTCTATGTTAATATTTACAATATGAAATCGATTTTGTATTTAAATTCTAGAATCAGTCTGTGTCAAAAGATCAAAGGTCAAAGATCGAACCTGGAACCGTTCCTGTTGTGAGGCGTTGTGAGTGCTAACTACTCAACCACCGTGCTGCCAGAGAGCGGAGTTTGCTGTCATAGTGCAACTAGCATGTTAACAACACACCAGCGTTACTTCCTGGTTCACGCAAGATAAAAAACGAAGATTATATTTGCGATTAGGAGCAGACAGCACACACTATGGTCTCCGTTTGAGAGTTGTTTTTACCATATATCTTTCTGTACTGGGGCACATTTTACTTTAAAACATGAAAAACTCAAGTATGTATCTGGAAAAATACTATCATAGAATATTGAACTCGTTGTCAACCTGGAAATGTCAACATCTCAGCGGGGCCACCACATATATATTATATATAAATGTATTCATGGGTTTCAACTTCCTGTTCTAGGTGACATTTTGAGGACTTTTCACCGTTCAAAAGATATAATATTTACTTTAAATTGGTAAAAACTCTATATTACACTTAGACAACAGTTCAGTTAGTCACTATTACCTTTTTGTTTAATGTGACCAGACGTCTCTATTTACCCGAGACAGTTTCAGTTTTGAATCCAGTGTCCCCTGTCCCTGCAGATTTATCCAAAATCACTGATTTGTCCCAGTTTTGTACAAGAAATGTCTCAGGTTTCCCTAAATTTGACCAATCTGATCCCTGCCAACAGTAAAGAGAGGCATAAACTGGGCATTTTACATGATGTTTTTTTTTTTTTTAATTCCGTATTAATTGTTCTGAATTAAATAGTTCAGAATAAAATTATTCTCCTTTGAGTTTACATGGAAATAATAATTCTGAATTATGATTTACATGGAAAACACTTTAAATCGCCTTTATTTAATTCCGCTCAATGTCCGGGGGTAGGGAAGGGTTCTGATTGGACAGAGACACCAACGTATTTATGTCAGCATCATCGATATTTACAATGGAAGAAAACACACACTTCAGCTGCTACCGGCTTTTCTGTCATCTCAGTTTGTCGTTACGCCACGGACACAAACATGATCCAAACTTTTTCCGCAGTCATTCTGATGATAATTGCGCAGCAGCTGGAGAATTGTCTCATCACGCTTTACATCTGTCAGCTGAGGAGGAGAAGGGAAGAGTGTCGGAGAAGGAGGAAGAAGACAAACTGAGTGTGAGGCTGCTCTACCTCAGCCCACTCCCACATCCTGCTCACAAATCCAAAGAGACGTGGATGGAAGTCCGAAGCCAGGACTGGTGGAGCCGGATCGTCCGGATCACGTCAGAAGGCCGACACAGAACGACCGCAATTATTTTTAACAAGAATAAACATTTACATGATCGAGAAATAAATTAATTTGGCTTTAAAATCGGAATAAACCACCCACTTACTTCAGAATTAAGCTTAATTCCAAATAATCATTTTCATTAGGAATTAAGTGTTTACACATACATTAGATTTCATTTTTATTCAGAATTTAATTATTTTTATTTGGAACTAAAGCTCTCATGTAAATGTGGCAATTGTCATTTGTTTAGGTAAAATACAGGAAAGCTGCTTAAAAACGACCAAAACACAAAGAAAATATGACTATACTGACACATGTTAGTCACGAATGGGCCGAGTGCAGTACACACTTATTTCACAGTTTTACAATTTCATTATTACCAACCACAACAAACCAGGGGTGTCCCAGTTTTTGATTTTGAAAATGTGGTTACCCTACTTTTGTTGAAAATCTATTTTGTATTTTTTCTTGAGTTTTCTAACAACCTAAAGAAACATATGAGTCTGTGTTTGTGAATGCGTGCATGTGTCACCGTGGTAACTGCTGAACATCCTGCCATAGATCTTTAATCTTTAATGACACCTCGCCCTTACCTACGATATCGAACCACCACTGTCGCTGCGTTTCCGTGACGATGATGCCCACCAGGTGATTGACGGGTTCGGTTTCCATGATGGCGAAGTTGAACCGCGGCTCCTCAAACGTGATAGGCTCGGAGACAGGGGGCGGGAGCGATATCCACTCGATGTCTAAGCGTGCCGTGCTGGATCGTGCTGGTTTGCCCTGGTCTGTGGCTTTAATCTGGAAGAATTAACATAGAGATTAAATTTAGAGGTGCGTGAGGTGAGACAGAGGCAAGGTGACATGGGCGACATGTGACAGGGAGGAGCCCTTTTGATTAATTAGGATTTAAATCAACATGAAGGATGAAGGACAAGCTAAACCACATACATATATTTTAATCTACTTATAGAACTGCCCACATAAAGCATGAGGAGTTAGGACGCACAACTGTTTACATGGAGGAATTAATAACTTTCTAAAACATGAAACCTTTGAGAAAAAAGACTGGCAGGTCTGATCTTTGTTCTAATGTTGTTTCCTCGTCACAAACACACCTAGAGTTAGTTGTGTTTAGTTTCATTCACACATGTTTAACACACAAACTCTGTATACTGAGGTGGAGTTCTTCTCTCAAACAGAAAACACCCTGTTCCACCTTGTGATGTCATGTGGTAATACCAGAAGTGTTCAGAATTACTGTTGAAGTGACCTGTCGAGAAATATTTTAGTGATCAGCTGTTTGTTTTTAGACCCTTTGTCCTCTTCAGTCGCGCCATCGCTGGAAGGAATCTCCAAGAATCACCTCAGTTTTTCTTCGCTCCTTTTCCCCTTCTCTTCTTCTTTCAGCGACCTCAAAACTGCGGTAAACTGGTCTTAGATTCTCGTCCGCAATCGCAACAAACTTTGTGCGAATTGTGAGGAAGCGACAGTTTGAAAAAGCCTGTAAGAATCGCTGCATAAACCCCGTAATCCCCGCGCGCCGGTGAGTCAGTTACACTAGAAACGTAGGGAGTTTGATTGACAACCTAACAGCCAATAGAAAATGAGGTAGCCCCTGTTGTCTATTGGCTGATGTTTATCTGGCCTCACTACGTCCACAGTTGATAGATTTTCATTCTTTTTTTTTTGGTCATCATAATTACAAGGCTGCTGCGTCTCTGTAATGATATTTTAAACTTTCATTGATAATTTGAAACAAAAAAAAATCCTCCATACAACCTTTAATGCACCTTATAATCCAGTGCACCTTATGTATGAAAATAGATTGATACTGCGCCTTATAGTCCGAAAAATACGCTAATAAGAAAGGGTTATTCAATGTGTGAATGAAACAAAACACAACTCCAGGTCTGTTTTTGAGGATGTAACAACATTATAACATGGTTTAAAGCTCACAGGAGTCCGTTTGGTGTAATATAGGACCTTTACAAACACTGTGGAGCACTTCCTGTATTACTAGATAACATGACAAGGTGGAAAAGAGTGTGTTCTGTCCGAGAGAAGAACTCGGTGTGTGTTAAATGTTGTGTGAATGAAAAACAAAACAAAAACTCCAGGTCTGTTTGTGACGAGGAAACAGCATTAGAACACATCAGAACAGATCAGAAAATAGCGTAAAAAGTGCAGCAGCCTTTAAAATGTCATAGGAGACGTAAACATGTTTGTGGACAGGCTTGTTATCCAGTAGAGTGACTTTCCATTAGCTCAGTGATCAGTGATTTATGTGAGCAGACAGGAGCAGACAGGAGCAGACAGGAGCAGAGATGACAGGCCATCAGAGGTAATGACGAAGTTTCGACCACACACACGGGGACACTTTGAGACAGGAGCTCAGAGGCAGGCGAGACACCATCACACACACACACTCAAGGATAAACAGGTGTATATGGAGGTTTAAGAATGAAGTCCAGGCAGGAAAATGAAAATGAAGGCTGAAATATTTGAGGACAGACATCTGAATTGTTGTCATTTGTACATGGGTTGGATGATGCGCTTAACTGACCGAATTTTAAGACTCAGACACGAGGCAAGTCGAAATTCATGAAGAAAGACAAATGTAGACTGAAAACAAGATGCTCTACAACAAGGCTGCTCACACTTTTTCAGCATGTGAGCTACTTACAAAATGACCCAAGTCAAAATGATCTACCTAATACAAAGCCAAGTAAACTGCACTGAAACACTCTGTGCCCCTTTTTTGGACCCTCACCCACAGTTTGAGAACCTCTTCTTTAAGAGAACTTCCTCTGGCACTTTACACAAAACTGTGAAAAAAGTGAAGGAAGTAGGTAAGATTTTTAAACCTGTTTTTTAAAGTTCTAAACTGGAGTTGCATTCTTTTCTGGTTTTGCAGTGATATTTACCAGCCTCTGCACATTTACCAAACCAAACGCACATCGTGACAAACACAGATGCATTTGTGCACTTTTGTTAGACAAACTTCAGCCAAATGTGGCAGTAGGTCTGTTCTGTAGATCCGCTCTATGCTGTAGACCTGCTTTGTGCCAACACTGGAACACAAATTTAGACTGGTTTTTGCTTCACGTTTGGTCTTGCTCTTCTAATCAGCCGCACTGTGGGAGGGGCTTGTGTTCGCTGTACGCAGGAAGGAGCGAGAGCGTGAAAAGGCGAGGGGCGGCGTGCTGACGTGAGGCAGATGGACAGGTAGGATGTTTAGGAAGTTGAACCTGCCCTGTGATGCACGCTGGTACACGAGGGCACACGCTGTTGCAGACGAGCCGTGCATAGGGAGCGTGTGTGTTTGTGATGTGCCGTAGAGTCTCCGCGGGTTTCAAATGAGCGCACAGGCTGCACTGAGACGCCCCACACGCTCCTGCACCCGCTACAAGTTTATTACCAACAGCAGCGGCCGTAATGAAATATGATCACACTTGTTGAGTGTCAGACCTTGAGTGAGAGACAAGACCGAGTCCAAACGTGAGTCTGAGACGAGACACGGCGATCTACCCACACGACCTTGGCGATCGACTCGTAGATCACGATCGACGTATTGAGCACCCCTGCTCTACAATGACAAAACAAAGTCTAAACCAGGATTAAACCAGGACTTAACCAGGTCTAAACCAGGACTAAACCAGGATTTAACCAGGACTAAACCAGGTCTAACCCAGGTCTAAACCAGGTCTAAACCAGGACTAAACCAGGACTAAACCAGATCTAACCCAGGTCTAAACCAGGAATTAACCAGGACTAAATCAGGTCTAAACCAGGTCTAAACCAGGACTAAACCAGGACTAAACAGGACAACCTTCTGATCACTGCAGACTGGAAACACACCATAACAGCTGCACACAACCAACCCTTAAACAAGCCTAAACCAGGTCTAACTCAGAACTAAACCAGGTCTAGAGCACCTTTGTTACCATTTGTTGCACACTGAAAAGACACTATTTACTTAACCTGGACATATTTCTAAACCAGGTGTGAATCCGATATGTATGACGTGTCCGTACAAAGAAAGACTGCAAACAGATTCCACGTTTTGATCAGATCTGAGTCCTTCTAACGTCTTTCTCAGGAGTCATTTGTCTGCTTCACAAAGACCCGGTGGACCTGCGTGTGCTGGGGACAGGTGCTGCAGCGGCGCTTTGAGAGGATTAGCCACGGCTAATTTGGCGTCTTTGGCTCAAACCGTTAGGCCTCACCTCCTCCATACAAATAACACTTCTTTACAAGTAACCAATGACTCACGCTGAAAGATGAGAATTTGAGCGATTTAAAAATAGCTGGGTTTGTTTGTTTCTTTCTTCATACACTGGGTTTCTATGATGGAAGGACTTAAAGGTTGTATGGAGGATTTTTTTTTTTTTTTTCAAGTTGTCAATGACAGCATTATAGAGGTGCAGTAGCCTTGTAATTATGATGACCAAAAAAAAGAGAATAAAAATTCATCAACTCTGGACGTGGTGGGGCTAAACATTTGCCAATAGATAACGACACTGCCTCGTTATCTGTGAGCTGACAGGCTGTCAATCAATCTCCCTACGTTTCTAGCGTAACTGACTTGCCTGCGCGCCGCCGGTACGTGGTTTACGTACGCCTGTCACGCAGTCCACAGACGCAAGCCGCACAGACGCTGTTTACTCCACCAACGCAACAGTTCTTAGCGGCTTTTTTTGACCTATATCTTCCTCGCAGTTCGCACAAAGTTTGTTGCAATGGCGACAAGAATCCAGGAGCAGTTAGCCGCAAAAGAAAGTCCGTTTTTGAGGTCGCTGAAAGAAGAAGACAAGGGGAAAAGCAGCGAAGCCAAACTAAGGTGATTCTTGAAGATTCATTCCAGCGATGGCGCAACTGAAGCAGACGCAGGGTCTAAAGACTGACGCACTGGTCGCCAAATTACTCCTGGACAGGTCACTTCTGCTTATTATGAAAACGTACTTTATTTCCAAGAGCTAGTCAAGCGTTTTTCAGGACACGAAAGCGATATCCTATGTCTGAAAACGTAATTTTCAAGGCAAAGAAAGAGTCCGCTTGCTGCTGCGTGTTGTAGCTAGTTCATTCGCACGGAATCTCCGCGCACTCTTCTCTGCTCTCCTTTACTGCTCCTCTCCCCGCTGCCCGTTCCGCTCTTCCCCCTGCTCCTCACTTCTCCGGGCACGGAATCTCTGCACACCGCTCCCCTCTCCTCTCTCCTCTCCTCTCTCCCTGCTCCGCTCTTCTCCCTGCTCCTCACTTCTCGTCCGCGAACGAAATGTCCGCACACCCGCTCCCCCCGCTCCTCACTTCTCCGCCTTGCCTAACCAACACTGTAGTTAGTTGTTTACAAGTCATGTGCAGCGCACCGGCTGTAAACAAACCTGTTTCTGGCGTAAAGAGGAGGCGGGAGAAGGCGTTTCTACGTAGGAGCTGTAGGGGAGGGGGGTGGTTTCACGCATGCGCAACATTTGAAAAAGGACAAACAGTCGCTGGATTTCTCGTTCCTTGGAAAATCCTCTATACAACCTTTAAGTGCTGAGAAAACAGCTCACTCCTTGTGCGCTGATGTGGTTCAGCTTCTGTTGGACTTTATCTGTGAGGCTCCTGACTACAGGAGTCGTAATTCTCCGACAATCCATCAAGTGGTGCGGCTTCGTAGTTTATCAAAGTCGTACTAAAACATTTTGACAGATTTTTGAGTGCCTTGTACCACATAAAATCAGTTCGAGGTCAGTAAGCACAACCAGAATTAATACATAAGGCACCGGATTATAAGGCGCACTGACGATTATTGAGAATTTTAAGAATTTTAAGTGCGCCTTATAGTCCGAAAAATACAATAAATGAAAATCTGCTGCTTGCTGTGATGAAATTACAATTGGACAGTCAATGGGCACCAGTTCTAAAGTTTTGAACAATTAGTCAGTGGACCAGTTTTTATTAAATTTGGTTTAAAAAAGCAAAATATGTTGTTGTTAATGGTTCATGTTAAATTGATGATGTGTTCTAAAGTCAATAGGAGTAAATGATAAATGATCACATTTTTATACAGCGCTTTTCTACCTTCAAACATCAAGGAACCACTCACCCATTCACACACATGTAATCAAACACTAGAGGCGAGGTGAATTAAGTGTCTTGCCCAAGGACACCATGGCAGTATTTATCTGTGGGAGCTGGAATAGAGCCACCAACCTGCGGGTCAGTGGATCTGAGCGCGCTACCAAAATACTCACGGTGAGGATGCTGTAGTTCCCCGGCACGAAGTCTCCGTGGACCATAACGTCTCCGGTCTCTGAGTTTATGTCGAAGCTCTCGCCGAAGTCGCCCTGCAGCCTGTACGTCACCGCCGCGTTCTGACCCTCGTCGTCGTCACGGGCAACCAGACGACACACTTCCTGTTTACCCGCCGTCTGCCTCTGCGACGGGAGCTTCACGTGGAACAGTTTATCCGTGAATTTGGGCCGATTGTCGTTCACGTCCAAAACCCGGATCACGACGGAGGCGGTGGATCTCAGAGGAGGAGAGCCGTTATCAGACACTATCACCTGGACGAGAGAAACAGAAAAGTAAATATTAGCATAAAGTGGGTATTAAAGTGGTCCTAATATGCACTGTTCAGACCTCCTGCCTTCTCTTTGTCAAACCCTGATCCCGTCAGATCTCAGAAGCTAAGCAAGGCTGGGCCTGGTTGGTACTTGGATGGGAGACTGTTGGGAAAATCAGGAGCCACGGTGGAGTGCCAGTGGTAAAAAAAACCCCAAAACAAACTGTGTCCTTCGGCAAGACACTTCATCTACATTGCCAAGTGTGAAAGTGGTGTGTGCCAGATCTCGTCAGTCTGTCCCAGGGCGGCTGTGGCTGGTGTGGAGATAACAACCACCAGGAAAAGCATGTGTGTATCTGTGTTTGGTCAAACTTGTGGAATGAGTTGGGAGAAAACCTGAAGCAGCACCCAAATATTCACAGCTTCAAAAGAAAGTATAAAGAGTCTTTGCTTTCTTGGTATAAGGGTGAGTGACAACACTGGGTGATCTATAATAATAATAATAATAATAATAATAATAATAATAATAATAATAATAATAATAATACATAAACAATAAAATGAAAAAAGTAACTGTAAAACATAATACAGTACAATATAAAAAAAAGACAATGAGTTAAAATATTATTAAGTATGCATTGTATGTAATTTATATTTAAATATTTTTAAAGTTAAAATATAAGTTTTTCTTTTTCCCACTCCTTTTCGAGAATTGTGCTTTTCTGTTGTTTACAATGTATATGTAGTATGCATGATTATTGTTTCTCCCTTGGCACAAAGTCGAAATAAAAACCTATCAATCAATCAGTCAATAATGCACCAAATTGTAAAGCAATTTTAGTCTGGAAAAGAGCTTTATAGGACTGTTTGGATGATGATGATGATGCTAATTATTATTATTATTATTATTATTCAGATAGTCAGTCTGAAAAATCAGAAAAATCAAACACCCAAACAGGACCATGAACTTTCATATTGATCACAGGCTCCTTAAAATGTGTTGTTTAATCCATTTTGTATTTTTTCTTGAGTTTTCAGATAATTTTGAAACTTTTCTTGGGCTATGTTTGCTAATGAGCGCACTGAAATGGCTGAACACTCCACCATAGACATACACGCAGAACACCCCCAAACATGTTTAAATAAAAGTAGATTTCATTCTTATAGTTGAGGATGGACTTCATTGCTGCTGATTCTATACCATGTCATAACTGCCCTTTAAATCCAAGACTATTATTTGAATTAAATCTTCAAAATGTTATTACCGTAAATTCCAGACCGCATCAACAAAATTTTAACAAATTTTTTTAAACTGTACATATATAGGCCGCACCTGAATATAAGCCACAGGTGTCCATGTCTTGAGGAACGTTTTCAAGGGCCGTCTTAATGACAGTCTGAACGACACAGATCCGATTTTTTTCAAATGTGACCCAAGACACTTGGATATGTGCTCCTGAAACTGATACATATCTGATCTTTTGACATGTGACTTCAGTTTTTACGGCCAAAGCGCATTCATCCGACCTACACGTTATCAACAAGCCACAAACGTCACTATTCTGCACTGAAGTAGGCAAAAATTGTTAATGAACTCCGTGTCACTGAAGTGAAGCACATCGCCACTCACCACTCTTGGCTACCGTCTCCACATCCACACGTTCCTTTCAACGAACTGTCCCACAAAACACCACGGCCAAAAACCTCGTCCTTCTCCTTCTCTATCTCCTTAAAACAAGTAAGTTGTTCATGTTCTGGCTCCAGTACGAGAGGAACTTTAAAATCTCCAGGTGCTCAATGCTCATGTCCATGTTTGGACAACTTCCGTAAACACAGAGCACGCTCGCTGCGGTTGACGTCATTGTGTCCTCCAGTGCACATGCGGGACACTTTCGGGCCGTTTAATGTTCACACTGGAGATCACACTCAAGGCGCATTTAACTGGAAATGTGAACGACCTCGCAAAAACATCGGATTTCACAAAAAAATGCGAATTGAGCGTTAAGCCCTGCAGTCTGAACGTAGCCTTAAAAGCTGCATCATCTGCATTTCTTCGTGTGTTTTCCATGAGGAGGGTGTGTGTATGAAACGCTAAATAACTGTTCAAAACACAATCAAACAGAATCTTCCTCATCACCGCCGTCTCTCCCCGCACGCTACTGCTCATGTCTCCTGCAGAAAGAGTATCTGTTCTGTCTGTATCATGTCAGTGTCTTGCAGGATTTCAGCAGATTTCAGACTCTCTCGGGGGCGGGGTTTAGTTCTGTCAATCAGGTGTGAGTGGATGTCCGGCTACTGAAGTTTGAGACGTTTCTTCTCGTCATTTACACACACGGGTAAGACGTATCGCCCTCACTAATGTCCATTTAACATCATAACTTATTCGATCACATTGCGATAAACTATTTGAGTGCACTGACAATATCGCGAGCTTGTGTAGCAACTTCATGTGAACTCTAGATCCATGTGTAAGGGCACAGACAGTGGTGTTTTCTGCACTCAGACTGTGTGTATCCTCTGTGTTGTCAAACCATAGACCGTTTATATGAATGGACAATGTGCCAAACAAAGAATCCGTCCACATATTCGCTGCATCGTTTTTTTCGCCGCAGGGTTCAAAGTGTGAGAAAAAAGTAGCGGCTTATAGTCTGGAATTTACGGTACTTTTCTTTAATTTACCATATTATTGTTCCCATTTTGTCATTTCTCAGTCCACTATTGCCCATTTAAGCACCATATTAGCAAGAATTTGTGTGTAAATTATGAAAAAATTCAGCACACAATAACACAACGTTAAGCCATTTATGTGCCTCTTGCATAAAATAATCCTCATTTATTTTTTAGTACAGTATTTTATTATCCCGCAACTTTAAACGGAGGGAAATTAAAACCTTTAATCTTTTCACTTTCAGAAGAACAAACAAGCTTAAAACGTAATCAAAAATGCACAGTAAAAGTTTTATTATTATTTTATTATTTATGCGTTGAAATCTTGAATACTTTAAAATGTTTATTAGGCATTTAACATTAAAGAGCATGTATTTGATTTGTTTGACTCTTCATCTAATTATAAAGCGCGTTATTGTCTGAGAATCAGGAAGTACGCCTTAGCATGCTAGTTGTCGCCAGCGTTATTGCGACGGCAAACGTAAGAGTCGTGTCTCACCTCGATGGTGTGCTCAGGCTTCTCCTCTCGATCCAAAGCTGCGTGCGTGCTGATCACTCCTGCAGAGAAAACACACACACACGGGGGGGGTTAGGGCCGGATCGAGCGACACAAAACAGATAGAGAACGGTAGATGTCGCGTTCAGGCTCTCGGCGTGCACTAATACCGCCGCCATCTTGGTACTGGGCGTCCATGGTCTAAAGAGTCACTGAATGAGTTTTTTTTTTTTTACAGTATCCGCGAGCGTAGATGCCGGACTTTTGCGCCGTGTACGAACTGGACCAGGACTGGACCAGGACTGGATCAGGTCTGGACCAGGACTGAACCAGGAGGACTAAACCAGGACTGAACCAGGACTGAACAAGAGGACTGAACCAGGACTGGACCAGGAGGACTGAACCAGGACTGAACTAGGACTGAACCAGGAGGACTAAACCAGGACTGAAACAGGACTAAAGCAGGACTGAACCAGGACTAAACCAGGACTGGACCCAGGACCGAACAGGAGGACTGAACCAGGACTGAAACAGAACTAAAGCAGGACTGAACCAGGACTGGACCAGGACTGAACCAGGAGGACTAAACCAGGACTGAAACAGGACTAAACCAGGACTGAAACCAGGACTAAACCAGGACTAAACCAGGACTGGACCCAGGACTGAACCAGGACTGGACAAGGAGGACTAAACCAGGACTAAACCAGGACTGGGCCCAGGACTGGACAAGGAGGAATGAAACAGGACTGAATTCAAGACTGAACCCAGAACTGAAGCAGGAGGACTAAACCAGGACTGACCTAGGACTAAAACAGGACTAAACCAGGTCTAAACCAGAACTAATCTTGGACTTGAGAGAGAGATAGAGAGAGAACCCCGAGTGCACGGAGCAGGGTGTCCCTCTGTCCTGTCTCTGTCACAGCTCCAGACCGACTAGTGGCCGCTCTAGGTACTGCGGTTCCCGGGAGCTTGGGCCCAGAAAGAATTTTCCCATAGAAGTGTAATGCAGATTTTATGAGTTCAAACTGCCCGTGTTTTGACAGGGCATCCACAGTGTTCACAAAGGTCGGATTTGGTGGGATTCTTTTCTATTTTCACAACAGAAACTTTTTTAAATGTTTAAGTCCTCAAAGCACCTCAAAGTTAGTTGAGCCTAGCTCCGCTCTGAGCCTGCACTCGCTCCACTCTAGCAGCTCTCACTCTGATTGGTCCAAACGCTCTACGCCGTGCACGTTACAGACGTCACACAGGTGGGAGGAGCTCACCCGTATTGAGGAAGTAAATGCAGAAGAGAAAATCACCGTCATCACCATCTTGGGTTCATCTTCTAGATTTGATTATAGTTCTATTGGGACAACCTGCCAGGAGCAGTGGGCGAACATTGACTCATCTCCAGATCTGATTTCATGGTCAAGAGAAATCTAAGATGGTAAACTGGTAAATTAGAACTGTTGCCATAATGATTCACAATGTAAAACAAAATATTATGTAAGTGGATGGAAAAAAAATCCTCAGAATGTTGCATAACAGAAAACTGAATCCTCCCACGATATGTTCTTCTTTTATATTTCATGGGAAACTACGCCAGGAACACCACTTTCTGCAACTTAGAGATACAGTGTGTTTGTTTTGTCTAGATAGGCCAGATTGTGGTTATCAAATAAGAACACCTGGTTCGGAAGAGAAAAAAATTTAATTTTTGTTCTTTGTAGCTGATGATTTCTGTTGGCGTCTGGACTGAACATTGTGACTGTGGTATTATGTGTATCAGGGGGTCTGTGGTCGTCAGGGAGCTTTTGGACAAACTGTGTAATTGACTGTATTTCATTACATTTATTTAGGTGTACAAAGCCGCAGCTCAATATTATAAGCCAATATAATCCAAATGTTTTCATGGATTTACGTCCCCTGCTCAGACAGAGCCCTCACAAACAAGAGGCTCCAGTCTGTGCTTCAGAACAGAACAAACTCTACAGATTTAAGTCTTTATCAGGACATCTGGACACAAGTTTTATCCTGTAGCATTTATGACAAGATAGACTACTGTGAAGGGTGAGACAATTCCCATGAAGCATGTGCACGTTGTGGTTATGTGTACTGTATTTTCCGGACTATAAGTCACTCTGGAGTATAAGTCGCACCACACAAAAAATGCACAATGAAGAATAAAAAATGTAGGGCAACTGTGGCTACAATACAGTGTTGAGTGAATGAATAATGCACTGTAAAGGGCTTTGGGTATCTTGAAAGGTGCTATATAAATGCAATGATTAATGAATGAACGAATTAATTAACAGAACAGAACAAGTTTACCAAACTCTCCATCTCACTCCAAATCACTCAGTCCATTCAATTCTTCATCCTCTGTGTCACTTCTGAACAACTCGGCCTCGACCTCCGGAGGTAAACAGAGCGCCACTTCCTCTTCTGTGTCGCTGTCGTCAGACTCAGCATCAGTTCCAGTTAGAATTATTCAGGTCTTTCTGAATCCCGACAGGATGGTTTCTGTGTCACTGAAGTCCAGACTTTGTCCATCCATCCAGTGACTTCAGGAAAGTTTCATGGTGCATCCTCCCTGTGTCACAAGTTTCTCTCTCACTCCAAACTTTCTTTCTGAGTCTTGATTATCGTTTTCAGCTGCAGATTTCGTTACTTGCAGTTTGTAATCTGCAAAATATGATTTTCTTTTTGGGGGCATTTGTGTTCAGTCTTCTCAGTCGTCTTTAAAAGTTTGTTTAAATTTAAAATTTTCAGTGGTGCAGAAGTAATGTTGCGATCGACTGACATGATACAGACAGAACAGAGGCTCTTTCTGCAGGAGACATGCGCAGTAGAGTGAAGTGACAGTGGTACAGGAGGAACAGGAGCAGCAGATACTCACACACAAGACTAGAACCTCTCACCGCTGTCAGTGTGAACATTTTAATATATAAGTCGCACCGGAGTTTAAGTCACAGGAAACATCCAAACCATGAAAAAAAAAAATGCAACTCGGAGTTAAGTTTGAGACGTGAGATTGAACCTCTTCACAGTTGCTAATATGTCCCTGCAATACACTTAATACATTTAGCTGCTAGAGATGGGACAAGATGTTGTGCTACAAGATCTCGTGAGACAAAATTGCCACAAGATCGTGCAAATTTTCCATGTGTTTACATTTGGATTGGATAAAATCATGTTGGTGAGTTACATCTCGAAATCAAAACAGCAGTACTAGAATGGAAACAAAAATATGAAATCAAATAAATAAAAAAAAATTATGAGGCCAAAATTGGAAATTGAATCGTGAAATGTATATATTAGGAATGATGTTAAAACTTGTCTTGTCTCGTTCTTGTGGACCCAGTCTCATGTGTCTTCTTGTGAAAATTGTGTCTCGTCCTATTCCTATGAGCTGAATTTTCTGACCAAAGGAGCAGTGTGTCCTTAGGCTCTGTCAGATGAGCACACACAGGAGCGAGGAGGTGAAAAGCAGAGTTTAGACACACACTGCTGCTGGTTGTATCTGATCAGATGTCGAGATTGTGCTCAGAACTAAGAAAAGTGTCCCACACAAAGATAACAACTGATAAGAGTCTCCACACGTTTTGGGACCATTTAAAAATTCCTCCTGTAGGTGTTTTCAGGTCTCAAAAGGTCACACTAGTTTTGTGAATAATAAGACTATTAACTCAAAGCTATTACTGTTAGCAGAGTTAGCTGAGGACTGGCGTCAGGAGGCTAATTACAGCCAAACAAACACACTGTTCTCCTGCAGCTCCTGCTTTATGCATGATGTTTGTGGAGTCTGTTTTGCACTGGGATCCTCTGGTCAGCTAACAGCACGGTTCATTTCTGCAGCCAACAGAAGGCACAGTTAGACACCAACAAGTTAGAAAGTGCATGGCAAAAAGAGAAATTCCATTTGTCAACTGGACAAAAGTTTATTTTGGCTGAATACATTTCACAGCTCATCCAAGCTGCTTCTTCAGTTCTAGTCAAGCCGGACGGGCTGCGAAATGTATTTGACCAAAATAAACTTTTGTCCAGTTCACAAATGGAATTTCTCCTTTTGCCGTGGATTCTACCTGGACGACTGAGGGATTGTACACACATCTTAGACAGTGAACTTTACGGTGATGTTTCAGCTCTGGATCTTCAGTTGAGCGAAGATCCAGAGCTGAAATTATCCAAAGGATTAGTGAAGGTGTATGGAGTTTAAAAACACAGTGGAGCACATCCTGTATCACAACATGGGTTTGTGTTTTAAACACTTGCAAACGAAGCAACCCACAACTCCAGGTGTGTTTGTGATGAGGAAACTATTCTAACAGATCAGAAAATGGTGTATTACGGGCCCTTTAAAGGTGCAGTGTGTAACTTTCTGCAGATGGAAAGTCATCTGCATGATTCCATGGAAAACTATTTTAGAACATCCTCTAAATCAGACCTGGGCATTATCCAGCTCCTAGGCCACATACGGCCCTTTGGTTGACTCTGACCCATTTAAGCTCATTTAGATTTACAAAATAAACATATTTTATCATTTGACCTCATGCATGGATTAAAGATGCATTGCTTTTATTGTGAAGGTGTTTTTATTCACTTACAAAATGATGCAATTCGTAAGTCAAGACGTGTGCGTACATTTAATATTACGCAGAATTAAGTTAAGCGTTTGGCATTTTTCCACAATATTTTGTTTCTCATGTGGCCCTGTGGAAAAAAAATATTGGCCACCCCTCCTTTAAGAGAGAGAGACAGATAAGTTTTATGCCATACTGTGGAAAATTATAACCAAGGGAACAACATTTCCATGGAAATGAACCGGACAAGGCCCTCCTCCAGGTCAAATAAGAGTCAGGTTTGTGGAGATGCGAGCCTGCTCACAGTAAGCAAACATGTTTTAGTATATTTGTCAGTGCAACAAAATGATCCAAAATGAAACAAAAGTGTTTTCAGTGTTTTGTTGTTGTTGTTTTTTGTTTTGTTGTTTGGCTTTAACGTAACATAAATATTAGGTTTTGTAAAATATCTGATAAAAATAAAATTAAATCATAGTAAAATCCAGTTCCCCAATGCA